GCCCAGGAGAATGTTCCAGTCTTGTGGAAGACATCCAGCCTTGTTCCTGTTTGGTAATTATAAACCAATTATAAACAATCAATACAGACTTTGCAAAGTGGAGAAGAATGAATACACACCAAGCAAGGATCTCAGTTAACTCTCATCGGACCAACGTCCTCCGACAGCATTTATTGAAGCACACACACAATGTTGAAGCACACACACAAATCACATTCCTAAGACTATTACGTAGACCATGAGGCGGGAAGCTGCTAGTGAAGGGAGTTCTCAGCTCCAGGTGCACACTAAATCAACAAGCAGTTTCTCGACAGTTTCCCATGGGAGTGTTTTACTGATCAATCAGACCCGCTTGGTCTGACCAGAACAGCTTGATCTGGAAAGCAAGGTCACTGTCCTCCCTTTGGAGACTGGTGGAGACTTGGTAACAGGATGAAACCTGCGTTTAATCATTCTTAATGAAGCACCAGATGCTTTAGCAGTCAAGAAATTAATCTAAGCAATAATATCAATTTTTACCTAACAGTGCCAGTTCCAAAGAAAACTCGCCCATCAGTCAATGACGACTACAGACCGGTTGCCCTGACATCCCACATCATGAAGGTTCTGGAGAGACTCCTGTTGGTCCACCTGAATAAGCAAACTAGAACATAGCAGGACCCACTGCAGTTTGCTTATCGCCATGGAGTTGGTGTTGAAGATGCCATCATCCAGCTGCTTCAACCAACCCACTGTCATCTGGACAAAGCAGGCAGCACTGTGAGGGTCATGTTCTTTGATTTCTCCAGTGCATTTAACACAATTCAGCCTGATGTACTTTGCCAGAAACTCCAGAAGACACAGGTGGGGGCCTCAACTATCACCTGGATTGAAGACTACCTAACAAACAGACCACAGTTTGTGAGGCTGAAGAACTGCACATCAAACCAGGTGATCAGTAACATTGGAGCACCACAGGGGACTGTACTCTCACCATTCCTTTTCACCCTGTACACCTCAGACTTCCAGTACAAATCAGAGACCTGTCATCTACAGAAAAACTCAGATGGCTCTGCAGTTGTCGGGTGTATCAGAGATGGACAGAAAGCTGAGTACAGAGAGCTGGTGGAGCGCTTTGTGGCATGGTGTGGAAACAATCATCTGACCTTGAATGTGAACAAAACAGAGGAGATGATTTTAGACTTCAGAAGAAACAGGGTGGAGTCAAACACTGTTTCCATCATGGGAGAAGAAGTAGAGGTGGTTGAGGAATACAAATACCTTGGAGTTCACCTGGACAACAGACTGGACTGGAGAAAGAACAGCGAAGCCGTTTACAAGAAGGGACGCAGCAGACTGCACTTCTTGAGGACGCTTAGGTCCTTCAATGTCTGAAGCAAGATGCTGCAGATCTTCTACAAGTCTGTTGTTGAGAGTGTAATCTCTTCAGCCATCGTCTGTTGGGTAGCAGCATCAGAAGCAGGGACCTGAAAAGGCTCAACAGCCTAATAACAAAGGCTGGTTCTGTTCTGGGGACGACTGTGGAACCACTGGAAGAGATAATGCAAAGAAGGATTCTCCAGAGAATCAAGAAAGTTATGGACAACCCTGAGCATTCTCTTCACAAGACTGTCCAACAACGGAAGAGTGTCTTCAGTCAGAGGCTTCTTCAGTTTCGCTGCAACACTGACCGCTACTGGAGATCCTTCCTGCCAACAGCCATTGTAATATACAATAACTCTTTGATGACTTGATTATTATTATTATTCTGAGCTACAACAGCAATCATTTTCCCTCTTGGATTAATAAAGTATTTTTGAATTGAATTGAATTGATATACATGCAGCAATATCTTGAACCTAATCCGGTACTCAACCGGTAGCCAGTGAAGTTGAGTGACACCATACTTAGGCGGTCCCTCTTTCTACAACCAGTCAGGAAACATGCAACAGAGTTCTGAACAAGTTTAAGGCAGAAGATTGCACCCAAACTCACACCAGCACATACAGCATTTCAATAAGGAAAGTTTTTAATTTGTATTTATGTTTTATTTTTTACACTAATGTACATTTTTCCCTGTAACCCCAAAATTCCACTATCTCCGCTCCGCTCCGCCCCCGCCTTCCGCAGCCGCTCGCTTCCGAACTCAATTTTTACTGGTACCCGCTCTACAACGGCTCCGTTCCGGTGCGGAGACCTGAGGTGCGCAAACAGGCATGCGCGGGATTTTCGAGATCTTCCGATACAGTCCGAGCAATAAACGCGGAAGTTAGATCCAAACACCCGTTGTGTGGGAGAAGCATCGGCAAGAACTGTTTAATCTGCCCATCATTTGTATTGAGAGATCAGCAGTGTTTGGATCAACAAAGTGTGACTACTTTGATAGTGGAAACTGTATTTATGGCTTATTTTTGTGCATTTAAAGTTCAACCGCCATTGATAGTTGTTAAAAGTTGTTAGACCTGTGCATATGAAACAAAAAACGCTTTTTGTTTATCGATTTATTGTGAAATAACGGAAGTTGTACTTGCTCCCTTTCCTGTTGGGCGGTTGCGATTTCTGCCATTGACTGCGGAGGTGCTCCGGCGTCTGGCAAAAACAGAATCAATCCTATTTTTGCCGGATGGCGGAACGGCGAGCGGCACACTGCGCTGCACGGCCGCAGTAGTGGCACAGCTCTGATTGACTACAACGGGACCGTTTTTGCTGCGGAGTTCGTGATGGAGCGCAGCGGAGGTAGTGGAATTTTGGGGTGAGAAATAACCTAGAATGTTCTGCTAAACTTAGTCTTTGGATGCATTAAATGTGTTGTGGGACAGTTATGTGTGTATATACAATCAGAGAAACATCCCATCACACTAATAATGATAATAATTTTGAGTCATTTTATGAAAAATTCATTATTTGGAGGGGGAAAATTATATATATATTATGTATATTACAAAATAATGTCATTTTTATGTTTTTACTATATATTTTTAGATTGGAAATAAACACTGTCATAGCTTAACTAATAGACCACATTATTAAACCATTTTCACATAAACCTATCAGCAAATATCATAGAAATATAGTTGGGTGTGCATCCCTACTGCTGGTATATATATATATATATATATATATATATATATATATATATATATATATATATATATATATATATATATATATATATATATATATATATAAATTCCCATCTCACCCTCCACAGGTGGACTCATCCTCGGGTCCTCTACCAGAGGCCTGGGAGCTTGAGGGTTCAGCGTAGTATCTTAGCTGTTTTTTCCTGGGATCTGCTATAGCCACTCCTCTAGTTTAAGTCCTGTTGATGTTGTACATCTCCAAGCATTTCAGTGATCTATGAGTGCAGCATTGAGTCATAGGCTTTCTTTAATCAATCCAGGCCGTACACAGGTTGGTGTGTCGGGCTTTGCAGTCTTGGGCGACTTTTCGGTCTACCAGCATTTAGTGTTTGGCTCCTCTGGTATCTCTGCCTATGCCTTTCTGTAATGGTTTTGATTTTCATGAGGGTTGTAAGGTGACTCAAGGGTTACGAGTTGGGCTGCTGGTATGAAATCAGTCATTGTTTGTGTCATCTGCCATGCAGCAGTGGTCATCGTGTAGCTTATCATCAACAGTGTGTGAGTTATTGAAATGTCCCTAATGTCCCCCTGGAGCCTCTGACTTAGAAAAGCGCTACAGAAATGTACAATGTATTATTAATATTATTGTACTATTTATTTTACTAATGTACTAGTTTAATTGCTTTCCCCATCTCTGCTGAAGGAAATAAATCTAATGTCTATTTTCTGTTTTTTTTCTGTTCTTTACTCCATTGACTCCTGAGAAAAACAGTTTGTCCAACTGTTATTTGTGCCGTCAGTTAATTTCTAAATATTTCCATCTCCACTTTCTGTATACATGGTAATCAGATTGTATTAAAGTGTTTTTACTGAATAAAACTGCCTGGTGTTTCCTGCCAAGAGATGATGGATGACATTATGCAGCCTTGTTATTTTAGCAGCTTGATATTTCATATTTGTTTTGCACCCAAACAGCATAATTCTCACATTTGCACTAACATATAATTATTAAAAATTATATATGCAGTTAAATGCAGTTATTGTCCAGTAATTTGTCAGACATTTTTAGTGAAATTTAATTTGAATTTCCATCAGTTACTCACCATAATAAAGCAGTTTTGTGGTTGGTGAGTCTGCTTTGCCACTTGGTCATTACTTGATGAACAGTTGTGGTGGAATAATCAGCTGACTTGAACTTGTTTCCTATTCATTGTTTTAGCGTTCCACGCCTGCGGTCCTCTTCACTTCGCCTGTGTCTGAGTGGCTCCTTGCTGCAAGATTACTTCTATTTCCCCATAAACAAAGTTGCATTTTCTTATTATTAAACAGAGTACAAAGAAAACTAAATTGGTGATTAAAAATTAAATACTCTTATCTCACTGAGAGTTATCTCAGTCCCCAGAGAGAGGATGCTATTTTGCAGGCTTGCGGGTATCTTTTGTTCCCAATTTAGAAGCTTGTCGCTGTTTATTGTTAATTTTTGATGCTCCATTTGATATTCTGTTCACTTTCCTCTCCTGAAATGAAGAGAAAACATCTTTATCAGACTGGCAGTTGCATGCAGTTGTTGTATACCCTGTGTTGTCAGAATGTCAGATTTGCCCTATTCTTTGCATTTTTGGGTTTTCTTGCTCTGCAGCCTGTTTTTGGTGAGCTGGCTGAGAACTAAGTGTGCTCTGCAAAAAAAAAAAAATATATATATATATATATAAAAAAATCAACGTGCATCCTAATTCTCAATTCCAAGTAAAAAAAAACTGACTTTTAACTCACAAATCTATAACGTTGTCGATTGTGAACTTGAGTTGACACTAACAGGGCAAAAAAGTTCTCAGCACAGTTGTCATTGTTAGATCCAAATATCTGTTTTTTCATTGTAAACATTTGAAAAGTTTCTGTCAGACAGTGATTTGAAATGTCTGCTTTGCTCTCTTCCAGGAGGCCTGTCAACTTGGAAAGATATCCTCTGTGAATGTAAGTTCTTTATGTGTTTTTCTCTACTCTTCCTTGTGTGTATTCTGAATTTAGATTCATTTTATCACACTGCTGATTCTGTTATTTATTTTTTTATTTTTTGTATACCTACTTGGTCTTGTTCTGGGTCATCACTGGGTGAAGAGGCATACTTGGGCAGGTTGTTAGTCCATCAAGGGTTATATAGAAATAAACATTCATACTCATACCTAGCCCGGGAACCTAGACAAACAGTAGCAGAAGAATTTGCTTTACAATTTGGTCTAGCCTCAGTGGGTGGACCGTTGGCCTGAACTATTTTAGGTCTGGCTAATCAGTTTTCTATGTTTGTAGAGAGACATTTGGCGGACAGTAATCAAGCTGCAATGGATAAAAACTACAAAAATGGCTTAGGCTTGGAAACGGCACTCATTTGGACGGTTTAGATTTCGGATTTTCTTTGAAACATAAGCAGCTAGAGGTACTTCAGTGCTTCATCCCAAAAAAGGATGTATTTGCTACTTCAGGTGTGTATGGCGGACTACCTCATAAGCACAGTGTTCAAAACTCTGATTGATTCTAGAGTCTAATTGGATGCAGAGACAGTTTGAAAGAGAATCGTAGATTCCACCCCACAAATGACATCTGTCTATGGGCCGTGGACACATTTACACATACGGGATGGCATACTAGGCCAACTCACCTGTAGTCAATTTGAAGTTAAAAACCGGAGGATTCAGTAAAAACCGGTTCGAGGAGATCATGCAAACACTAACCATTTCCAACACCATGCAGCCATATTTCAAGTAAATTTACAACAACTAATAATAACTAAACTAAACTATCCGGTTCTTCGTTCCTCTTAAAAATGATCTACATGTTTACGTGAGTAAAGCCAGACCACATGAAACACACTAAAATAATGTGTTTGGGCCATTATTTTGTTGGGCTGCGACTAGTGGGAGTCACGAAATAGCTAAAAAACAATTGAATTTTCAGGTGGAATAATGCTGAGTTGGTACATATGATGCTATATGAAGTTCTTTAATAGTAATTTTAAAAGATGTACAAAGGTTCTTATCACAATATAGCCACACGGTTTCTCATTTATTTCTCAGGTTTCTCATTTATTTCTCAATGTGTCCAGAGTTTGGCCTTATTTTATTTGCAGTTTGGTCTCCAGCTGCTCCACGTTTTTGCACAATTTGTGACTCAATGGAACTGAATTGATAAGGTTTGAAGACGAGTTTTTTAAGGAATATCTCATATTCCAGGATTACAAGAGTGGATTTGTATGACTTCCACATTGAAATGGTGGACCTCTGAAAATGTAGAGACATTTTACCGTTTGCAATGCATTTCCAGCCGTCACTGGCTTTAGTGGGATTAGTAAAGCTGCCAGTTGTTGCAGAAGATCAATACCTTCTCAGCACATTTGGGTGTTTCTTACCATGAAAATGACTTTAGCGTGAACTGTGTAGTTTTTGAACATGTGTTGATTCTCAGTTCTGGAGAAAAACAGCTTCACCAAACAAGAAAATGAACCCAGTCGCCTTTAAAAATAACCCAAAACCAAAAAGTTACGTTTGATCCTGAACTGAAATGTGTTAGTGATGCAAAACCCAGCAAGAATGAGTGTGCCCTATTACCGGCCTTCTATGAATTTATGTGACATGTTTTGAATATTTTTGAAGCACTGTATTATCAGATCACAATAAAATGGCATAACTTCATATTAAATACAGCAATGTATCATAATTACAGCACTGCCTCATTTTTATACCACTCTGCACTGCAACTGAGTAAAAAATGTGTTGACATTCAGATGTCTTTGTTGTTGCATGTTTAGCTGTACAGCTCACCTGCATTTCACACTTAAACTACAATTAAACCCTGTTGTGTTGTGACATCTGACTATTACACCTGCTCTTTTTTCTGTAGCTAGAGCCTAGAAATGCAGATTCATGATAAATGAATCTTTTGTTTATTGAAATTGGATTGCAAAGTATGCCGGTGTTCAAACTCAGCAAAATTCATTTTTCAATCCAGTTTTTGTTTGCAGATCTCCTTTGATTTAAGTTTGAGGGTATATTTGAAAATTCATGATTCTCCCTAAAATGTGTCTATAAATATGTATTTATTCTTAGATTAGGAGCATATTAAAGCCATTTCAAAAGAGTTTCATCACAATTCAGTGAAAAATAAATCCCTGTTTGCTCTTACTGAGACTGCATTATGTCATAGTTCTTGTACCACTCTGAGTATTATCATAGCAGATGACTCAATAGCAGATCAAATTAATGAAAATGCCTTTGATTTGTCACAGATCACCCAGTAATGTCTCAACACACTTGCGAGAATCACCTCCTTCTCTCGTGTTCCCGCTAACTCACATCAGGACATCATGGGCTGCAGCACTCTAACAACATGTAACAAAAATATAAGTCAGATCAACAAAAAAATTTTAAAAACCGCTAATAGATTTTGGGAATTTTGCAAACCCTGGACATCATACTGCAGCGACACTCAGAACGTGGAGCGTTTTGGACTGTTTTCTTTTCCCGCCCCACACACGAGACATGTGTTGTAACAAATCACCGTCTCCACTGAGCAGATTTATGCAGGTCTAGGTGTGCCCGCGAGGTGATCCTTATCTGAAATGGCAGAGCCAATCTCCCCTGATTCACTTCTAAGTGGTCCCTGTTTATCACTCACAGTGAGGCGGTTGTCAGCCGAGGCCTTTTCCTCTGCAGTGCTGACTTCTGTGCTGTTTTGAGAGAATGATAGTCGAGGTAAAGCACGTAGTATAATAAAACTCAAAGAGCTGTGGTTTAGCAAAGGACAAGGTGGCAGCCACTTAGCCTCCCGTCGTCTATCTGAGCAGAACGGACTCCTAATCCAGTAACCTGTGGGTCCGGTCCCATCTGAAGGGGTTGGGTTTTTGTTTTCTCTGCTAGAACCTGGCACGCGCCTCCTGTTTATTTTACATCTGTGTACATACTCCAAAAGGCAGCATTTTGCCAGACCGAAGGGGCTTTGTTTGGTCTTGATATCTCTTACGGCAGCTTGTCTTTGCTTTATGGATTCCTGGCAGCTTCGTTAAATAAGTGATCGTGGCTAACAAAACACTCACCTTGACTCCTGAAGGTTTGTTTTTTTTTCTTTTCGTCCTCATGTTTGTCTTTTATTTACATCACCACTGAGACCCATTCACGGCGTTTAATCCTAATTAATATTATAGCTCTGAATGACTTGATATTGAGCGCACAGTGAAACTAATTTACGTTTTTCTTAACATCTGGCATCAGCTTGAATAAACAGGGCTTCTAAAGAAGACCCTCCCTTCATGCAAAATGATTGCATTCTAATTGTCATGGGCAGCTGTTTGTTCGAACAGATTCTGGATGTCAATGTTGAAGCAAGTTTTTAATAATTATGTGGCGAGGAAGCGAGCTTTTTGTTGAGCTGCCAACCCTGCGTGAGTGGGTCCTTTCTCTAGCTGAAACCTGGGCATCGCTCTTCCACGCAGCCTCCAGTAATTTGAGAAACCGCTGCCAACTCTGTTTGAGAACAAGTAGATATTTAGCCGACTTAGAAGCGTGTGCAAACACACGAAGGACAATATCATTTTGCCAAGAAAAGAGGTATCTGGCTCCTTTTAGCTGAAGGAAAGATACAACTAAAGGGGATTCTGCATTGATGCTATTGAGAAGAAATACCTTCGTTCCCTATAGAATAAAACAACACACAGGTTTGATGTTTGCATCTTACACCTGAGTTGAAGGATGTTTATTCCTTTTCTTGCCACCTTTTCCCTCTTTTTCTTTCTCGTTTGTCGTTTTGTTACCAGCTCTCACAAAGAGAGTTTTGTAGCCTCGGGATCTTGATGAATCAAGTAAATAGAATGTTTAGTTGGCTGTTTCAACATCATGGTTTTGAAAAGCCACTCAGTTGGGCTTTCAGGGTGCTAATTGTGTGGATTTTGGTTAGTCAACCCTCTCTGATAACTTTTAAATGAGGCTTTTTTGTCATTTTGTCCTTCATTAGAGTCAGAACTTATTCTTATTTCCTCTCCTTTATTTTGCCCTGTTTTACTTTGTTCTGATCAAAGAACCGTACACTCTCCGTCTATGCAGTGTCGTGGCTACGAGAGAAAATATGAGAAGACTGAGACGGCACCCCCTCCGGAGCTCAAACAAGCATGTGTTAATGATGTTTTTAATTCAGGACTTGCTTTTGTTGCTATAGAGATGAGGAGAATGAAGGTACCCATGTGTGCTTTAAAAAAGAAGAAAGAAATGGTGTCAGTTGGTATGATAGATTGGAGAAAATTCGCTGCAAAAACCAAAGCTGAGAATTAGATAATGTTTTATGCTTCTATACCGCATGATGCATGGCGACGTAACCCGGGGAGTCGTGTACGGACATAAACTCAAACTCAGATGTCTTACCCTCAAAGTCGAGTCAGAGCTCCTCGCATCTTTCTCTGCCCAACGCAAAATGAAAAACATAAAATCGTTGGTGTCTCTTTCTGCGTCACGCCTCACAATCAGAATGACCATGACTGCTGCGGGGTTTTCTCTCTGTAGGGATTGTTAAGATGTTCCCAGGCATCTCTGAACACACACACACACACACACACACACACACACACACACACACACACACACACACACACACACACACACACACACACACACACACACACACACACACACACACACACACACACACAAAAAACCTGTTTTCTTTTTTAGCTCCAAAGAAAGGTCTCCCCGTGATCTTGAGTAAACCTCGGGAGAAATCAAAGAGGCCGATACCACTCAGAGAAAAATGCACACACGCTCTCGTGGACCCCGTGACGTTACAAATCAAAGTTGCAGCCTTCGTGTGTTTCTCGTTTTTCTTTTTTTGGCATCTAAATGAGGCGAGCAGGAAAATTAGGACATAGCTCAACCTGTTAAGACACATCCTGTCTATTCTCAGGATGTGTATTGCAGAGGTCCTCAATTATAGGTCTTGCAGTTACTTTATTAACTGGAAAGTAATTCAATAGACTCAACAGAGCAGAAAGAGTTTTGGGTTACGAGGTCATACTCTCAATTAGTCCTTGTAATGACAAGATAAAGTTTGGTCATATTCCCGTATTAAAAGCGGGATGAGATGATGGATGCTGTGTTCAACGTGCTACTCTTAATACATTTAGTCAAAAGGGGTTTCCTGGTGAACGCCATCTGACTGTAGTCACTCACCCGTGAACGAGTGCCGCTGTCACAATTCATGATGATGTTAATCCTGGGCGCCAGAGGTGTAGTGGCAGGAATGTCTCAGTCTGAGCACAGAACTCGACTGGGAAGGAGACTTTCATAAAAAAATAACCATAAGCAGATTTTTTATTATGTTTCTCTCTGGTGACCAATAAAACGAGTCAGTGATTTCTGAAGGAAAACAGAAACGGCAGCATGGCGATAACTGGGGTCAAATGTCATGCTGTGATTTGATAATTACATTGGTTCGCTGGAGAACCAAGGCATTTTATCTGGTCTTTTCACGCATGCAGACATAAAAAGTAACATCATAAGCAACACAAGCAATCCTCTTCTTAGTGTTTGTAATAAAAACATGCAGATAGTTTTTGGTATTATGTGCCGGTGTTTAGAGATGAGCCGCCTTAGACCTCCTTTCTTCTCTGCATTGCGTTGAAGGTGAGCGTATTTTTGACTGCATTGTTCAATCCTTTTATTTATCATACTTTAAAATATTGAACCACAATGTTTCTAGCCAGAGGAGATCTCTTTTAATAATATTTTTTTTATCTTACTGTGAGCTTTTCACTGGAACACATCACCTGAAAGAAAAGTAATGCTCTTAGCAGAACAACATTGTTCATTGTTAACGTTTGTTTGCTTCATTCACCACCAGTAAGACCGCCACATTTAGAGGGTGGTTAGGTAGATTTATATCACACATCACGCAACCTTTTAAACGTACCAACGTAACAATGACATGACTGAAAGCCACACACATTTACTGGAGTCAGCGTCGCGCTAATGCTCAGCTGGATTTCCTCTGAATTGTCCCGTATGACACTTTTGTGTACGTTAATTGTCCCAGCCCAGTGAGATCCAGGGTTGGAGGATCCTTTCCCATCATGCATCTTTGGCACCATAACAAACTAAGTCATACAGAGATGGTGTCGCATTTTAATTAGACTCTCCAGGGGCATGCCTCTAAATCTCCCTTTGTTCTTAGATTTCTTAGATGTAGTTTATTTTACATCATAAACATGTTTAAACAGGACTGAAGGGTTTAATAAAAACATGTTCTTTGCGTTTTTGTTTTTTTACAGACCCAGCGTCGCGTAACCTTCCATCTTCCAGACGGCTCTCAGGAGAGCTGCAGTGACAGCGGGCTGGGGGACCCTGAGCCCAGCAGTGCTGCCAGTGCCACCCAGCCTCTTTCCCTCAGCTTCCCCCAAGAGGAGTACTACGAACAAACGTCACCCAACAGCCGCACCGAAGGAGACGGAAACTCAGACCCCGAATCCAGTGAGTACTCAACTTTGCAATTCTCAAGAGGAAAAAAAAAAGACGAATAATTTTGCTCGTGCTTTCCAAATGTTGCTACTTTCTGATTTCTGTGGATGACAAAATGATTTGGAAGTGGCCACCTGTGTTTTCAGCAAGTCAAATTATTTCAGATTACAGCTGTGATTGTGAATGTAACACAGCTTTGCATACACTCAACAAGCAGCCATTTTTGGTCAAATAACTATAAGCAACTGTAAACAAACAGTGCGTTTTGCTTTCCGACATGATTATTAATAGGCTCATTGTTTAGTCAGATTGGAAAAGATAATATTCCAAAAGTCAACCAGCAGGAAAAACTGAGCAGTCTAGATAAAGAAATAATCCGACATTTCAAGTTTTTAAAATAAAAAATAATAATCTCAGTCATTTTAGGAAGACAAACAACCAGGCATAATTAGTAGAAATAAATATTTATGACAGCAAAGACGTTCATTTGTGCTGACTTTTGTAAATGCCGCTGAGCTGTATAACAGAGGAAGGATTGTACCCCAGAGGTTGAAACTTTGTTGCTGAGATTTTCTTAAATGATTCACTCGACATCTGTCAGTGCATGGCTTACTGCCCGGTAATGTTACCCCATAAAAAGCATCATTGAACGCAAAGATGCACAGCTTCCTCCACATGCATATTCAGTACCTCCTTTTTTCCTGTTTTTATCATTAAAAAAAAAAAGAAAATGTATGTTTTTGGGGTGGGATAAGAGGCTCTTCCACCTCCTGGATGAGGGGATTCAGAGCCCTTTCATCAGCAGCAGTGATGCAGCTGAAATGATTTTGCTCCAACAGAAAATGAACCGGGCCGTTCCTGAGTGCCTCTGCCCCGTCCCCTTTCACGATGGATATTCTAGATTTTATTTTCTTCAGGTAATCTTGTGTTCTCCCATCCTGCAGACAGGACCGACTCAGATCTGAGCAGACCTTTGCTCCTTCTCTAGCCTGTGGGTGTAACTGTGAGGATTGCATTCAATATGGTTACCTGTCAAGAAAGCCAATCTATTTTTTTTCTTTGCAAAAGACAAAATTTACAAGATATAAAAAAAAATACCACAAATTGCTTTGCATACACCCACATGTGGTAGAGCCCCAGCAGCTGGGCTGACATTTCCTGGACCGGGGTGTCAGTGCCAGTGTGAGTGTGAAGGCTTTTGTTACGCATTAGTCAAAACGTGTGACATTCTGGTGATGGCCCTCTGTTCATTTACGCCAGGAGGTTTTGGCCCTGTTTGTGATTTTTATTTTATTATTATCATTATTATTATTATTTTTAAGTAGCAAGTCAGAAAACGACCATTTTCTTCTGCTCTTCGTCCACACATGCACATCTGCAGGAGGCGTGTGCATCAACACAGACACACGTGCAAAGATCAAACCACTCTATCTCCTGCAGTTCTCTTTATTCTAATCACAATAACTGCATGGATTTATGTGATCCAAGCAGCTCCTCGTTATTTTATTAATATTTCATATCATAAAAATGTAATACTTGATGAACAAACACAAATACAGCACTTATAATCTGCTTTCACCCTGTGGTAATATGAGTTAGTTGTGAGATACTAGATCTAAATTACTGCATTAAAATTTACAGCAACCAGCGTGGAACTTTAGAGTCTAAGATGGTATTATTGTTTTTACCTGAAATTACCTTCTCATGCACAGTTACTGCAGACATTTCAGTCTTTATAAAGAAAAGATTTCTGAGACTCAAGTGTGGAAATTGGACTGGAGTTCAACATCAGTTGCAAAAGCAAAATTCTGTGATTTGAGTTAGAATCACTTTCTAAAGGCTCACTCCCTGAAAAGTCAACTACGCTGATTATATATATATATATATATATATATATATATATATATATATATATATATATATATATATATATATATAAATTATTAAACATAAATTAGTTTTTATCATAATCAGCCACCGTGAGTTTTTCATGCAGGCTGAACATGAAAATAGTCTTCTACACCTATCTCCTGCATTAGCTTCTGACATAAAATAGACGGTGAGACTCTAGAATGAGAAAAGCCTGACAGATCTACGTCATACTGTCACTTAACATTCATGGACTCACACATCTTGACTCACGACAAGGAAGGCTGTTGTTGGTTTAGCGACCAGGAAGCAGCAGAGAACATATCAGCTAGTAGAAGCTAACCATTAGCATTAGCAACTCCACCACACAGCAGTACTCCTTCAGGCTTGTTTTTTTTTCTTGTGGGGAAAAAACATTAATATTGAAAAGTAAATAGAGTCAGTGGTAGAGTTGCGTTGCTGTTAGCGAATCAAACATCAGGAACCAAGACTCCAAATCCCATCCTGTCCAGCTCTCTTCTGATTTTACATTCTGCTAGTTCCTTAAACAAGTTCATGTGAGCTTTTCCCCCCAGAGATTGACTTGCAAGGCATTCATTCCAAAGGGAGATCACTGAAAATGTTTTAAAAATGCGTGCGAAGTTGATCTCTAAACTTATGATTGATTTGGACTTTTCTTAAACTCTGGTGTTATGTATAGTCTTTTTTGTTTTACCAAAGGTCAGGTAGGTTGAGTAGAACAGCTCACACAGGAACGGGAAGATGGCGGCTGATCTGATCCGCCACTAACTGATTGGTGGTGAAGCTGTGTGTGCCAGGATGCATGTCTTTTATGTCCATGGGCAATGAAAAATGCAATCTGTTTATCTTTAAGTTGAAAATTTGCAGAAATGTATTTATTGTCCAGGTATTCACTTCAGGCATGGGTATGGTAGCTGCAGGTGGTGCAGTTGGGTATTCTGTTGACTCACAGCAAGAAGGTCACTGGTTCAATCCTGTGTTTTCCTTCCATGCAGATCAGCAACATGCATGTGAGGTTATATGGTAAACCCTTTTTTCCTATTTGTGGTTCATTTTTGGGCAACTTTAACCCTTTACCTGTCTGGTCAGCCAACTGATACTACTGGTGCCACTGGTTATCTTGTCTCTGTCCCACTGAGGCATTAAATGAACTTAACAAGAAGAAAGAAAACTGTGTGTGTGTGTGTGTGTGTGTGTGTGTGTGTGTGTGTGTGTGTGTGTGTGTGTGTGTGTGTGTGTGTGTGTGTGTGTGTGTGTTAATGGATTTATGTCAACATGTGGCCCAGCGAGGGTCTGGCGACTTGTCCAAGGTGTCCCCGTCCTCATACGGTGACTGCTGGAGATACGCACCTGCTCCCTTCAAAATTCTGAGGAATAAGTGATTCAGAAAATTAGTGAGTGAGAGACGCAGAATAAATCCATCCATCCATTGTCTGAACCCGCTTCATCCACGTAGGGTCGTGGGGGGGCTGGTGCCTATCTCCAGCGGTCAATGGGCAATCAGGCAGGGTACACCCTGGACAGTCCATCACAGGGCAATACAGAGACACACAGGACAAACAATCATGCACACACACACACACACACACACACACACACACACACACACACACACACACACACACACACACACACACACACACACCTAAGGACAATTTAGACAAACCAGTTAACCTAACCGTAATGTTTTTGGACTGTGGGAGGAAGCCGGAGAACTCGGAGGAAACCCACGCATGCACAGGGAGAACATGCAAACTCCATGCAGAAAGATCCCAGGCTGGGAAGCGAACCCAGGAGCTACAGAGCAACAGCTCTAACCACTGCACTACTGCGCAGCCTGCAGAATAAATCATGGATAGTCATTATAGGATGTCCTGTTATACTTCTTCTGCGGCCATTCTACAGTTTAACAGCTTTGTTCTTACAGTTTAGCAGAACTGCATCGGTAGTCATTAAAAAATATTTTACACAAGACATGAGCTTGATTGTGATCTTTGAAATACAGGTTTTCTTTTTTTTAAGTTTTCTTGTGTGTGGTCATTCCCTCAGACACTCCTGTTCCTATAATGATTAAACTACATAGCCCATCCTAAAGGACTGGGCTCACAGATGCATTGAATCCATAGAATACAGCATTTAAAGGAGTGGGATACTTGTTTAATCCAAACATATGCAGAGGTCTCCAGTAGTTATTAATATCTCGTAAGTTGTTCTCGGGGGGAGGGAAATATAACGGTGCACCATTTTTAGGAACTAGAAGTGATCCACATCACAGCTGAGCTTCAGATGGCAAGATCTGGAGTCTTATCTCCTTATATTTGGGCACTTTGTTGCAGATTTGAAAAATTAAATAAATTTTAAAAAAAGCAGCAAAGCAACTCTAGCACTGACTTGCAACGTTGATGTTTTGTCTCCACAAATAACACAAGCCTGAATGATCTTCTGCCTTGTGGTGGAGATGCTAATGCTAAAGGTTAGCTTAAACCTGCTGAGATGTCTGCTGCTCCTTCTCGGAAATTAAACCAACAACTGCCTTCCCCGTCATGAGTCAAGATGGGTGAGTCCATGAATGTTAAGTAACAGCGTGACGTAGATCTGTCAGACTTTTCTAATCTTAAAGTTTCACCATCTATTTTCTATCAGAAGCTAATGCAGGAGATAGGTGGAGGAGACTATTTTCTTGTTCAGCCTGTATCAAAAACTCAGAGTGACTGATTACAATCAGAAATAATCATTTACAAATGTGTTTGCAGTGTTCCACACACCTCTAAGTATTTTAGTCATTCTAGATGACAGACTTGAATCACTTGGTCTTTACCTTCAAAGACTTGGGACTTGATTCTGTCAAAAAGACCTGTGAACATTTAAAAAATACCTCGTCGTATTCTGGGACTGTATTCATTTCAATGCATACTCACATTTGTGTATATCATTAGAGCATCACAGCAAGTGTGAATTTCCTGCATTTGCAAGGTCTCAAGAAAATCACACACACACGCACATGCACACGCACGCACGCACACACACACACACACACACACACACACACACACACACACACACACACACACACACACATACATATAATGTGTATGTATGTGTGTGTGTATTTCTAATAAATG